CTAGAGCCCTTCAGTGGGCAGTATTGGTGAGAGGTGAATGAATGCCTACCTTTTTTTTTTTTTTGTGCTTCCCCAGCAAAGACATTTGGTCCTCAGAATAGGTCAAGAGTAGGCATTGTCATCCCTGTTTAAACAGGAGGCTAGGGCTTAGGGAGGTGAAGTGGCCTTCTAATGGATGGACAGGGAAGGGAGAAGCTGGTTGTTATGACCAAGTGCCCAGTGTTGTGACAACTTGGTGCTCCAGTTTCACAGGAGTACTGGACCACAGAAATGAGGGTGACCCTGGCTGACTTCAGGTCTGTCCTCTTCTCCTCTAGCACTCCCTGGATTTTCGAGAGAGCAGAGAGGCAGAGCCCCACCCATTGTGGGAGTACCCCTGCCGTAGCCTCTCTGAGCCTCAGCAGATTCTGACCTTTGATTTCCAGCAGCCTGTGCCCCAGCAGCCTGTGCGTGCTGAGGGGTCCATGGAACTGAGAAGGTGAGTGGAAGCTGCAGCAAGTTGTGGGGTGAAGACAATAGAGGGACTTGACTAACCACACAGTTGTGGAGGACAAACAGCCTGGAGATTCTTATTCTTGGTCCAGGATGTGTCCTTCCATCCGGCCCCTCCTTTGCATTATGGAGGGTCCCACAGCCTCTGGACATGTGCTGGGGAAGGAGAACTAGAGGGGGTCTTGCTTACCTCCCTACCTGTGGGCTCCTTATTGTATCAAGCTGCAGACAAACATCGGTTACTATGGTTACCCACTGGCCCATTTTCCTGAATTCTCTTGGGAGTTAAAGCAGGTCAGGATTGGTGAGGGTCACTTGCTGCAAGATGTGGGAGACCCCACCCAGCTCCAGCTCAATTTACAGTAAGAGTGTTGCCTCCTACCAAAGGGAGCCATATGCCCAGAGCTCTGGAAGCTTTTTACACCAGGGACAAGCAGCAAGGGCAGGGCAGATGCCACTGCCCAGGGAATCTTCGTTGTCAGACCCTGGGAACAGCTGTGCTCAGAGGTTTCCGTGCTCGGGCTGTGAGGAGTGTGGAGTTGCTCCGGCTCAACCTTTTCTGTCTAGGCTTTACCTACATGGGTGAGGAGTACACAGACTCCTAACTGGGAGGGATGGGAGTGGTAGAGGTTTCAGGAAAGCAGAAGGATGTGTTGGTTGGACTCATCTGTGTCAGTGTGACTGTGTGGGTCTATACTCCCCAGACCTGGGAAGAGCCATGGAGCTGTCCTGTGGATGGAATATCATCTGACTCCAGGCAGCACAGTCAGCACCGGCCTCATGAACCCTTTGGAAGACAAGGTAGTACTGTGGGCACCAGGCCCAGAAGTGTGTGCCTGCCCTAAAGCCACTTATACCTCTCCTTGTGCTCCGAATATCCCTGTTCTGTGCCCTTCAGGTCGGCTAACTCCCAGATGACCCAGGTTACTTCCCACTGTTAGTTACATGGGCTGGAAAGGTGGCTTGAGTGCCAGGGACAATTCTCATCCTTTTGCTACTCATCCTGCAGGGGGACTGCTGCTGGAACCCCCACTGCAAGCAAGCTGTGTACTTCCTCAGCACCACAGTGGATCCCAGAGTGCCTCTGGATGGCCCTCAGTCAGTCAGCTATGCTGTGGAGTTTCATCCCCTCACTGGAGACATCACCATGGAGTTTAGGCTTGCAGACACCTTGAACTAATCTTCCCTTGTTGAGAAATTAAATGGCCAGTAGGCTTCAGACTGAATGGCTTGGGGCTCATTGGGGAAGGAAGGCTAAGAACTTACGTCTTTGCATGCACCTACTTGGCATCTGCACAGCGGAGACCTCTTATGTTTGTGCCTTAGTGCTTCTGGCTTGCAGCATCAGGTGTGGCAGACAGCATAGGCTGGTGACTGATTTAAGAGTTCTGAAGCAACCAGGGAGAATGGCTTGTGGTTCTGAGAGTTCAGAAAGCTCTGGTATAGGAATGCTTCCTGTCCTACCTGGAGGAGAACTGAGGAACAACCTTCTCTGGGACTAAGGTAGGACTGCCCACTTAGCTGGAACCTACCCAGCCTTTCGCTCTCTAGGAATCTCCAGGTCTCTGCTTAGAGAATGGCCTTCTAGGGGTTAGAGGCCACATTTATAAACATTTGGGTATCTCGCCTCAGTGTCTGATAAGCTATGAGACTTGGACACCAGGGTGCTGCTCACGGGCCAGGGAAGAGACCATCCTCAAGCAGTTCCCTGTGGGAAACCACTGGAAAGGAAACTTGGGAGAGTATCCGTCTCCTGTCTGAAGGCCCTTGCTCTGATGGCTTATCCTTGCTGCAGCAGAAAGTGCAAAGATTCCCCAGCTGGTCACAGCCTTGTCCCACCTCTCTCCTCTCTCCCATACTCTTGCTAATGACATCTCAGTTCGAAAGGATTTGAGGAGAACCTAGTGGAACCTAGGTGGCTAAATCCTTAGCATTTCAGGGCAGACGTGGACTGTGTCCCCATGGTCACCAACCCCCAAAGCCCCGAGGCTGGTATGGACTCTGGAAATCCATTGGCCCTTCACAGTTTGTCGAGCAAATAAGTACAGAACCAGAATGCCAGCCTTGAGCCTCACAGTTTTATTTTCTCGTCATTCTTCATCCTTCCTTTCAGCACCATAAAGGAAAAATCCACCTCTTTCAACATTGTTTTTTAATCAGGCATAAAGATTGTTTTTCTTCTTGGGAAGAATCGTCTGGATATATATTTGATAATGTTTTACCAAAACCTTAGGTATCTTACCATATAAAACCCCTAATGTCCCATGAGGATACAATACAGAAATTAAAAAAGTTTCTTCTTTTTCTTTTAAAACAGTATTTCTAAATCTGAGCAAGTTAATACAATAGTTAAAAAGCATCAAGGTTAATATTCATTCTTAAAACTCAGGTGATTTTGGACAAATAAAGATGAATGAATGGTCCTTCCTAAGCTAACACACTTACCTAGTGCTTCCCTTGAGGGGGTCCTGGGCAGGCAGAGCTGCAGTTGGGATTCAAGTGACCCCTGTGATTGCCCCTGTCTAGGTCATAGTTGTCACAGAATCTGAAATCCTGGCAATGTCTTGTCTTTTTTAAAAGTTGAAATAGAAAGGCCTGGCAGTACACAAGTCCTGAGTCCATAGGCAAACCACAATGAAATGTGTGGCAGATGGTCATGGCCTCAGTGCTGAAAGATGTGTAGGGGCTCTGGAAGGCAGGCTGTCCTTCCTCTGGACTCCAGAACCTGTCTGTGTGGAGGTGACCTTGTAGTAACAGAAGGTGACAGAGGCACAGGGCAGTACCACTTGCCTAAGGCCGCCCTGGGAGTTGGGAAGGAAGAGAAGCATGTGGCTCTGACTCCAAACATGTCACCCTAACCCAGGTTTAGGGACCCTGCCCTTGGCTTCATTTACTCTCCTTAGACACAGTGCCATTGGTATAGGGATTGGGCTTGCCCAGTGGTACCCTGCATGAACAGAATCCTGGTTGTTTCCAGGAATGGGACCTTTCATTCCAGGAGGCCTTCCCAGATACCTGGGGAGGCCAGGCCCTGACAGGGGAAGGGCACAGCGTAGAACCCTGCAAGGCTGCCCTAACTCTGGACACTGGAGCATGGGGCCAGGACTCTCCGGGCCAAAAGGTTGGGACAGACCGCTATCACCAGCTATACACACCCTAATGCCAAGCTGCCTGTGCAGTGAGGGACCACCCCCAGCACAGGGCCTGGCATCTTGTTAGATGTGTGCTCCTCTTCTTGATCTCTTTGCTACTTAATGGGTGGCAAGGCACAGCTTCAGGGCACCAGCATTTAGAGGTCCTAATAGCAGGGGCCTGATGCTTCCTCCATTCTCACCAGGTGGAGTTGGCCTTGAGCCGGGCTGGACACAGATAGGGCACTTTGAAGAGACCAATGGGGTTGTCAAAAACCATCCTTCAAATTGGAACTCAGTACCCTGAGTCAGTCTTCTTCCCTTTGTAGTCAGGGATCAACCTCTGCTCCCTGAAGGTAGGTGGGCAGTCAGTGCTGACTTGGGCAACTGAGCAGGAGCAGGTGGAGAACAGTGGGCTTCTAGAAGCCTTACTATGCTGAGCTTGGGCTGGCTCTGGTCCCATAGTGGCAAGAGTGGCCTTCGGGATGCTGCCTGGAATCACCCCTGCCCTGACAAGCAGTGACTGGTGGCTGGCCACCTGAGCTTAACAGGTAAAGAAGCCATTCTCTACATCTTGGTTTCCTGCCATCCCATCCAGGGTACTCTCCTAGACATGGCATTGGCTGGAGCAGCTACTGAGGGAGAGTGGGCCTGGGAGGCCAGAGCTGCAGCCCAACTTGGGGGCAGGCAAGTGGTTCCTGAGCTCAGCCACACTTGGATGAGGGAAGTCCTCAGGAAAAGGTTGAACCCAAGGGGCCTGTAGAAGAGGACGTGTTGGCTTGAAAAGAAGAAGCTACAAACCTGTCATTTTCAAAATCAACCCTCCCCCCTTTATGTTCTGAGTCCCCTTTGTGTAAAAAAAAAAAAAAAAAAAAAAAAAAAAAGTGACGCCCTCTTGGGTGTCCTGTTATGGCCCCACAGCTGATGTCAGTTTCCTCCAGGTGCTGCTGGGGTGGCCAGAGGCAGCTGGACCCTGCTGTGTGGGCTGGGGAAGAGCACAGTTCTACCCAGTGACTTACAGACCCTAAGTGAAGAGTGATTTTGTGTTTACATTTTCTGTTTTCTTTTTAAAATGTAATCGCCCTTGAATGCAAGACCCTGGGAAGAGCCCTGGGCTGGCAGGTAATGACAGCCTTCACGTCCCCACCAAGCTGGAGGTGGAGAGCTGGCAGCTGTGCCCTGGAAGTGCTTCTTTGGCTGTTTCTGATTGTGTTTGGAGTTTGGCCTTGGGTGAGGCCCGAGCAAGGGGTCTGGGTGCTACAGTGTGGCACATGGCATGCGGGCAGCGTGCGTGCGAGGGTGCAGGCATGCGAGACAACATTGGCAGCAGACAAAAGTAATGAACCCTGGACAAAGCTTGAGAAGAGATACAAAGAGTACACAAACCCAGTCCTCATACTAACCCTTGGGTTACAAACTATGTTGTGCTGTGTAGATCTGTAGAAAATCATGATTGGAAAGAATGGCACTGGTTAGGCAGCCAGGGGCTCCCAGACTGGCCTGAGTCCTCTGTTCTTAGAGATGGCCCAGAGGCACAGAGCAGCCTGGCTCCCAGGCTCCCAGGGGACTGACAGGCTCTTCCCTGTCCCCTGCCCTCCTTCCCCCAGCACTAGGTGCTCAATGGAGGGGACATAGCCCAGGCATGGGCTGTGGCTTGAAGGGCTGACAGAGGCCCCACTTCTTGAGATGCCAGTGGCATGGCTGGTTTATGCCTCCTCTTCCCCTGCAGATACCATCAGCCGCATGGCCACAGGGAGGTGGTCGGTCAGGCCGGATAGCTGGGTGATAAAACTGAATTCTTCTACCTCCTAGGTTGGGGGAAAGGGTGGAAAACATTCTGTTTAGATCCAGAGAAAGGATGTTCTATAAAGTGAAGTTTTGGGGAGGAAATGACAGCCTGGGGTGGGGGGTTTCTAGATGTGGGGCCAACTGGGCTAGGGTTGTACAGAGGGTATCTGGAGGCTCTCAGGCTATGAAAATGATGGCTTTCATTTGAAGGGAGCAAGGACTGAGGGATGGGTTCAAAGTACTATACAGGGCTACAGGGCCCAGCCTCAGACTCACAGCCTTCCAGTCGGGGCACAGCCCCTCCTCAGCGTGCAGCATGTAGTCAATGCGTCGGCCATTGCCCTTCAGCAGGTCCTTCCGCCCCTTCTGCCCAGCCCCTGGGCTCTTGCTGGTAGGAAAGGCCAGATACTCCCTTCGGCCTTCCTCACTCTCCAAGACCCTGTCAGGCCGAAAGGAAACAAGGTGAAGTGTTAGGCCAGCCCTGGCCTATGGAGCCATACTATACAATGTAAGAGGGGAAGGGGGAGACCAAACCTTTAAGTCTAAGATCCAGCTGTCCTGTGGCTCCACAAAGGGCCTCACCATAAAGAGGGGTCCCTAGTCAGCAGAGGCCCTCTGCCACCTGTCACAGGCTGTCTCCACCTTGGGCTAACCAAGTTCCCACTTCCCTTTCTATCCTGATGCTGGTCATGACATTCCTGGATGTGGCCATGTTGGGGATACACCTCTCCTGATCCCTTCTTTGCTTCTGAATCAGTAGGAGCCTGTTTGAGCCTCAGGACCTAGAAGTCCAATCACTATTTATGATTGGCCAGGCTAAGGGAACCAAAAAAGGGCTACATTGGAGGTCTCAGTTATTTTATGGGTCTGTCCTTAAGCGATGATGAGACCCAGCTTATCACCAAACCCGTGAGCGCTGTTTCCTTTGTAAAATGAGTAGTTGCTGTGACCCTGCCTTGGGGGAATGGGCTGTTGTCCTATTTCTCAGAGTCATCCCAGGAGACTCATGGGTACTTACATGTCCAACACAGTTCCTGCTAGCCTTTCCCGATAGCCCAAGCAACCCTGGGGCTGAGGAACCCCATAGACCACCCCTCCCAAATTACCAAGAGCAGGCTCAGGCCTGTTGCTGGCATGGGAGACTGCCCAGGCCTCCAGGTGGTTAACACTGGATAGAGTTAGAGTCTGGAGAGACTAGGATGGCAAACATGGCTTTCTACAGGTTTTTTATCAGCCTTAAGATAAATACACTAATGACATTCAGAGCATTGTTAACAGCTCAAAGATATAATCCATTACTGTCTTTTGCTTTGATAATTAATTCTAGCATCAATGATCTGAGAGGTACTGATAGTCATTTTTTAATCATCTCATGAAAAGATAATTTTCTCTGCATAGGGTGATGTTTCAAATTTAGTCTATAATCTAATTAATTGGCTCAAATTAGCTGCAAGGAGCCATGGCAATGGCTCTGTGCAGTCTCAGGCTGTGAATTATAAATCCATTCTGCTATTGGCCTTTCCACCATGCCCTTTATGGAACCCTCACTGGGTTCAAGGATGAGGCTGGGCCAGGGCAGAACTGCCTTTCAAGACAGCCTGCGTTCTCTCATCTTCTATCTAATTGGTTGGTAGAGGTCATGGGCTTTCTTCTCTTCCACAGACCTCTTACCCAGCAGCTCTCTAGGGCTTCACTCTTGACCTGATCCTGGAAACTCTGGCTTCTTTTCCTGTATGAGCCATACTTAACTAGAGCCTTTTGCAATGGGAGCCTAGATCCTGACTGCTGGCTTGGGATTTGTCTCTTCTTCCAGACTCCATCTGTCTTCTCTCCCATGTAAGAGTTTCCTGATATCCCAAAGTTCTTAGTGGTTTGAGTGAGCTGTTCCTGCTGGAACCTGCCCAGCCCCCATCTCTACAACCTACTAGGGGGTCTATACCCCCTGAAGACTTGAGAGCTTATTAGGACCAGGGGACCCTGCAGCAGTGTGGGCACTTACTTTTGAAGATTGTCAGGGGTACACACATCCTCATCATAGAGACCGTTTATGTCCAGCAGGGTACCTGGGGACAAAAGAGAGTGGTTACTGAAGTAGGGTCCAGCCAGCCTCAAGTGGACCCCATGGAGAGATTAGGGAGACACAAGGACTTTGGGTGCCTCTAGACAGCTGCCTAGGGCATGTCCCCTTCCTTCATCAAGGATCAGGTTCTGGTGGCCTCTTCTTGGGAAGCCCATGGTGAGCCCAGCCCCCTGCTTACCAATGGCCCACGGCTTCTCCTCCCCAGGTCCCAGGCGGCAGGGGTCCTTGTATCGAGTAAACAGTGAGTGCTGCTGCTCCAGTTTGTCATCTGTGGGAGGAATGAGGAGAGGAGTGCTCTGGCCTGCTGCCTCTGATTTGTGCCAGTTCCTCCTACCATATGTCACTAGGTTCCTGTCGCTTTGGTAACAACTACTCTGGGTTTATGGTTCTTTTGATATCCTATGGTCGGTACTGTGGTTCATCTGTCACTGGTTCTCTATGGCCTCAGATGTGCCCCCAACACATTGCTCCCTGTCCTCCGAGCCTTCCCAGATTCCATTGCAGACTGTTAGTAGGGACTACATGATGCTGCAGCTAGAACCCTGCTCTCTTCACAGACCTGTTTGCTTGGCCCCTGGGGAAGATGGGTATCACATGGCTCAGAACCATGTGTTCTGCCTACTTGCTGGATCAGTATAGTCTTTTTTGACTCCTGGGCTGGTAGAGGACACTGGGTTAGGGCTTCCTGGTGGGATCTCCTCCAAAAGCCTCTTCCTGTATGTGTTGTGACAAGAGTGTCCTGATCAGAACAGAGAGACCCATGCTGGGGCAGAATCTGGTGTGTCGAATGTGACAGCTTTGCTGTCCCACACAGCCGCAGAGGAAAATCATTCTGGGTTGGTGACTGTGTTCCATGATCGGCACTCATTCTCTTTGCCCATGCTGGAACTGCCACTGTTATCAAGAGATGCCTTCCTGGCCGTAAAAGGTTAAAACAGCTTTTACCTGCTACCATCAGGTGAGGGTACCATCTTGGACTCCAGGTGAGACCTTCAGGTTTCCTGTGGGCATGGAACCTGGGTCCATTGCAAGAGCAGTGAGTGTCCTTAACCCCTGAGCCACCATTGAGCCATCTTCCTTGCCTAGTTTAAGCCAGTATTATTGGAAGTTCCTCCCTTGTCCTGGGTTCACTTTTAGAGCATCTCCTTGTCTCTAGCTAGAGGCCCCTTGCTTTTTTGGGTAGTGTATGAGTTGTTCAATGCTAGGACTTCAGTGTGGGGCAAACACATCAGTCCTGCTAAAATTTCCTGCACACATTCATGAGGAACTGGAAATTCTTCAAACTATCTAGCTGTAGTCTGTGACTGTCCATGGAGCTTCAGACCTGAGAGTGGAGGAGTGTGACCTCACCAGAAGAACAGTTATCAAAGTTCAGATCTCCACAGATGACATCAAACACCACCAGTTCCTCCGGGTTGGCTGTGCTGGACGAGGAGGTAGATTTTCGGAAATCAGCTAGCCAGTCCTGAAGCAGGTCCAGTTGCTCACACCGGATGGCACTATCCTCTACAGATAGGACAGAGACCAAAGTATGAAGCTTGACCTGGACACCAGCCAGGGCCCAGGTATTAAACCCATCCCCCAGAAAATCCCAGTCTGTGGCCTACCTGGTGGGGCATGCAGGTGTGTGCAGGCGATATACCCAACGATTCTTTGGTCCTGAGGTGTGCTTCCCACCTGCACCTGAGGGAAGGCAGGGTGTCAGTGTTGGTACTAGCCAACCATTGCTGTTCTAGGTGCAAAGGGTCTCTGGCAACATTTAGAGCCCTCTGCTCAAGCTCTCACCATTGTGCTCTGTGGCAGGCTCCTGGCTAGACTCTGGGGCCCAATCTAGTAGAGGGCATGCCCTGCTTCTAGAAGTGTCTGGCTGGTTCTAGAGGCAGATATGCAAGAAAACATCAGCCTATAAAGTTACTTGGTTGGCCACAATCTGTGCAAGGCTTTGTGGGGAAGAAACAAGTTGCAGGCAAGTTCCTCCCAAATCCCTGGCATTTCCAGGTGACTGGAATACCCAGCTTCATGACTTTCCCATGTTCTCTTTTGAGACAGAATCTTGATATGGTTACACAAATCTGGATAATCTCAATCTTAAACTTACAGCAATCCTCTTGCCTCTGTTTCTCAAGTGCTGGGATCAGGAGTATGTACCACCATATTCAGCATTACATTCAGTCTTTTTAGTATTTGTTTATCATCATCATCATCATAGAGTGTGTGTGTGTGTCTACAGAAACCAGAATTGGAGTTGTGGTTGCTGGAATTCCTAACTCTGGTCCTCGTGATAAAGCAACATGCTTTTAACCATGGAGTCATATTCTTTATCCCCCTTTTAGTCTTTTGTCTACTCCCATTTAATGACTCTTTCCTCCTTTGGCCACACTCTCAACCTGACCTCCTATTGACCCTCCAATTTGAAATCAAAGCTAGTACCCACTGGAGGGGCCTTGGACACTGTCATCCTCCTGCTAGTCTGCCTTTGCCCTGTGTAGTTGCATAGTCCATTGCTTCATGAGTTTTTCGTTCATTTCTTTTTCAATATAGCATTTCTTTGTGTAGCCCTGGCTGTTCTGGGACTTCTCTGTAGACCAGGTTGACTTTCAACTCAATAGATTTTTCCTGTCTTGTTTTTTGAGTGCTGGCATTAAAGATGGGTGCCACCACTGCCCAGTGCTTCATGAGTTTTACCGGAAATGGTCTCCTGTAATCCCTCAGTTTTCGACCAGAGTTCTGATCAGTGTCCCTAGTTCTAGGCCCCTGGCATGGGCTGATCTCATCTTGAGTCCAGCTCTCTTTTCAGAGTAGCCTCTTCACAGCTCCATGCCTCCACTTTCCCCAAACCTGACCCTTTCTTTACTAGGGCACAGTTACATTGGGTGGACCTGGCTCAACAAGAAGTTAACTTGGGCAGATCATCTCTAATGCTGGCTTCATAAAAAAAAGGGTATCTTAGCTGGGTGGTGGCGGCGCATGCCTTTAATACCAGCACACGGGAGGCATAGGCAGGTGGATCTCTGAATTCGAGGCAAACCTGGTCTACAAGAGCTAGTTCCAGGACAGGCTCCAAAACCACAGAGAAACCCTGTCTCAAAAAACCAAAAAATAAAAAAAATAAAATAAGAGCATCTTAATTGTATATCCCAAAGACAATTCAGCAGCCACTTGCCTCTCCTGTGTGACTCAGCACAAGAATGAGCCCTTGTCTGTGCTGTGGCTCTGGAGGTGAGACAGACCACACATTACATCCCCTTCCACAACCTAAGGCCTCTGGTAGGTCCCTTATCACTGTCCAACTGCTGGATGCCACTCAAGAAGAGTCCTTCAATTGCATACTCTTCAGGGACTATTGTGGGGCCCTGTCCTCAGAAGTCTTTCGATAACACATCTTTGTCATATGTGAGCACCAGCTGCCCTCCCCAGATAATTAGTTATCTAATTCAGCTGGGTTTTCTGTGTTAATGAACCCCAGACCCAGGCACTTCCCAGAGAGGTGGACTACAGAAGCCAAGGTTCTTGTTCTATCCTGTGGCAAAGGACACAACAGTGGCCTCTCAGTCATTGTTCTTTCCTTTTGCTGCTGAAACTGAGTGGGTCTTCTCAGTCCTGTCCCCTGGATTTCTGCAACTCCACCCTCCTCCCCACAGCATGCATGCCTGTCCTCCTCATTGCCTATGGGTGAATGTCTGGCTATTTGATAATAGGCTCTATGGCCTGAACTCGGGCTGTTTCTAAATTCACATGTTCAGTTCAGACCCAAGGTGCAGCCACCTGGCACTCCTATCTGGGAACTAGCCCTGCAAAACCATGGACCATGGATGCATCTTGTTTATACAAGCACTTTTTAAAAGAATACAGTGCTCAAAGGGGTATACGACACTGCTGACCTTGTGTTCCTCAGGCAGCAGGTTTCTCCCACTGTATTTATTCTTCAGCCACACACACTTCAGCTTAGCATAGCTTCACATGCTCAGTGTGTACCATTTTATGGATGGGCTCATAGCATTTCAGATGGGAGCGTGTTAGTCCTGTTGGCCTCCCCATGCTGCTCATTGCCCCTTTCTGGGCTGTTGGTGTCTTTGTCAAGATTTTAGACAGTTGTCAGACTCAACCTTAGTATCACTTGCCCTAGGTTAAGTTCTGGATGAGGACAAAGGCATCCCTACTGGCCCTTTTACCAAGGTCCCACCTAGAGGGCGGGTACCACAGTAGTAAGGTGTGTGACCTTGACAACATTCACTTTATTATTTGCTGGGACTTAGTGGTTCCTATGGCATACCCTGAGGACCTGCTGAATCCTGTGTTTCTCTTACAAAAACAAACAATCACACTGAGAGGCTGAGCTCTTTAGTTCTGCTGGCACAGAGTATCAGTTAAAAAAAAAAAAAAAAACAAAACAAAAAAAAAACGTCCTTCATGAAGAGGCCCATTTTTCAGGAATCCATGGAATAAACTAGGAGAGCAGGACTCAGTGAGGAAGGTGGCAGAGAGGGACTGCTGGACACATCCTCCCAATGTCCCCAGCTCCTCTTCAGATGAGCCTGGCCCTCTTAATGTGACAGGAGGACAGTCAGACCCCAGTCCAACGGGGCACAGCTCTACTCTCAAAGGCAACGTCTGGCCGGACAAGCAGTCCAAAAAATACCTGAGTCAAGGGAGAACTGGCTTGTGGTTGGAAAGACTAAGACCAGCAGAGCATGGGACATGGAGGACCCTCGGGTGGTCTGGAAAGGGCAGTAAGAGGAATCAGACCTAGTAAGGAGGAGACTGTCTCACTGAAAGAAGTCAAGACAGCCACATCATAGTGGGCCAGTGCAGAGAGGAGGTTCACCAAGATGGTGTAGTGAAGAACCTGGGATAAACTGAGCAGACACAAGTTGCAGCCAAGGTGGATGGTTTCTTCTGGGTTCAGATGGGAGGACCTGAGTGAGGACATTGGGGCAGATGCTGACCTTAGAAGTAAATGAGGTGTACCCAGGAGTCAGCCAGATTGAAGGATGAGCTCTGGTATGAGATCTGAGTTACCAGCAAGGGTAGCAAGTAAAGTAGGGGACTCTGAGAAGTAAAGAGCTGGCTATAATAGCTTATCCCAACCTTCTTCTATAAGAAAACAAGACTATCAGGTGGTGGTGCATGCTTTTAATCTCAGAGCTTGGAAAGCAGAGGAAAGTGGATCTGGGAGTTCTAGGACACAGTCTGGTCTAGATAGTTCCAGAACAGCCAGGGCTACACAGAAAAACTGTCTGGAAAAACAAAACAACAAAAACAAGCTGGTACTATCAGACCTGTCAAGGTGTTAAGAGATGTTGCAAACAAAGTTTGAAATGCAAAATAAATATTGGCCAGCTCAAAAAAAGTTTTGGAATGGCATGAGCCAACATATCTGCTGACCAGTTTGAAAACTACGAAGTAAAGGGAGACATTAATGATAGAGGAGAGGCTGTCCCAAGAAGACAGTTGTCTTTAGAACTGTTCCAGGGTATCAAATGAAGGAGGATAGTTGGGACAGTGGATTGTTCTGCATAGCAGTAGTCTGGGGGTGGATGTCTCTAGGCTCACAGCCTTCTGTATCAGGCCAAGGGGACACACCTTTCCACTGATGCCAAATATATCCACAAATGCAACACAAATGAACCATATGTCAGAATAGGAAGGCTGGAGCTGTGTGTCAGAAGACCTGTGCCTGTGACTAGAAAGTTGGGGACCCTAACTCTAGCAGAGCCATGCGAGAGACCTTGGCACCCCAGGGTGGGGACATAGAATGCCTGCCTTGTCCTTAACAGGCAGATGGAGTTCACTGTGCCCTTACTCCCAGCAAGCACTGGCTCAGTTAAGACTGAAAAGTGAGAGAAACCTGCCCTGGGCCACAGTCAGGGTCCCCTGACAAAGCAACCCTTCAGTCAGATCTCACTTTTAAGGGGAAAACCACGGGCAAAACAGCTGCTGCCCCTGGGTCAGAAAGCCACATCTGCATCAGATGGCCAAATGATGCTTCAGAAAACTGGATTCACTAGCAGTGGCCTTTAAATAGAGAACAAAAAGTTGACACTGAATATCTCAGGCTCTGTCAAAGATAACGTGTAATGACCAAATTACCATAGTCTGTCTAAAACCTCCAACTGCATGCAAATTAGCAGAAATAATCATGATTCACTTTAATTAGTGACTATGGAAATGAAGCCAAGCTGTGGGCAGGCAGCCTGGCAGGGCAGCTGCTAACAACCAGAAGGGGGCTGTCCTGGCCAATGAAGCTAGAGGTCTCAGTGGCTGAGTGTGGTCTTTGGCCTGGAGACCTGAGAGCTCATATGCTGGCCTGCACCCATGTTCTACTCTGGTCTCTGCCATGTGTGAATAGAGATGGGGCTTGTCTCCTCTTCCATCCCTTATCACAGCAAGCACCACCATCCTCATGTTCACCGCAGGATACTGGGTCACACCTATCACACTTCACAGATGAGTAAATGACTGAGAAACTGGCCAGATCACTCAGCCTGAGTCCATGGGTTTTCTGTGCTTGAGCTGGGGGCTGTGAGTTCAGTTCCATGAAAAGCTTTGTCTGGCTCCCAATTTACCCCATCGAGGCAGTGAGGATTCCCAGGACATAGGATTGGTAGGGGCTATGACCCATTTTGTCATGTGTTTGGGGAGAGCTGGTGTGTAGCCCTCAGGCAGAGCTGAGAATGCCTACCTTGAGAAACAGAGCTCCCTTGGAGGCCAGGGCATCGAAGCTGCACCCATTGGGGTAACAGTGATAGGCCACGTCCATGACAGGGTAGCGGCTGGCAAAGAAGAGACCACTGTTGAGACACTTGAAATTGCAGCAACCATGGCAGCCATAGACCCCGACGTCATACAGGATGTACTCAAAGTAGCCGTGTAGCTGCTCTTTCAACTTAGCAGCTGCACGCTTGTCAAACACCTCCTGCAGGCACAGGAAGTCCAGATTGGCTGGGAAGAAGGCCGAGACCTCATGGTCAAAGGCTTCATCAGGGTGCCGCCTCCTGCGTGCTGCTGTCTTCTTCACCACTGACGTCTTATACAAGAGCTTGCTGTTGACTCCTGGCTCTCCACTGCCACCGCCATCTTGCCCAGGCCGTGCCTTCACCAGGGATTCCCTGGAGGCTGAGGGGCTGCCCAGGCTCCCAGAATCCCCATCTCGCTGATTGTGGTTGGGCGTCTGACCCTTTGGGGCCCCACCAGCCCCATTCCTGGCTTGATTCCCAGTAGCAGGGTCATCAGCTTCTGGTGGTCGGCCTCCTTCATCACCACCAATTCGCACAATGCAGCTGTCCTCAAGGCTGCCATCAGCCGGGTCCCCAGAGGCTGGGCCATTGGCAGCCTCATCACTGGGGTGACGCCCTCCATCCCCTTTGTATTCCACAGAGGCCGTCCTCTTAATGCTACCAGGGACAGCTCTAGCTCCGTCACTGCCCTGTGGAGACACCAGGCTGCTGAAGCTGGCTGCACTGATGGAAGTGTTGGTGGGAGAATCAATGTAAATTTTGATCTGAGGCCGGGCGGCCCCATTGCGGATTCTCTGCCCAATCTCTTTGGCCCGTGCTTGGGTATTGAAAACATTGTTGAGCCTCGCGAGTGAGTCAGGAAGAAGGCAGACATTGGCCGTGGCAAAGCAAAAGCTTTTGCCAGCCCCTGTGCCCTTCCATTCACTAAGCAGGGCTGCCCCACCAGCTGGGCTCTTGTCCTCTAGCCGGGAGTAGGAGTAGGGCCTGCGGGCAGACTGCAGTGGAGACCAGAAAATGAACCCAAGAAAGGCAAAAGGTAATGCAGCCACAAACAGAGCCAGGTAGACTGGCGTGAAGAGTACAGTGCAGAACAGCTGCAGGCAGCAAGGGTCATCTGCCCTCTGGCGCTTCTCATACGTGGTGGGTATGAAGGAGGCCACCAGCCGGTCCACCAACCAGTAACATGGGAAGATGAGGGCCCAGGACACAGCGTGGAGGGCGGACAGACAGCTATTAGGAAAGGGAGTCGTGTACAAAACCATCGCAGCTCACTGGGCGCCGCAGCCGGCTCTACTACATGGTGTCCGTGGCAGATGCAGCACTTTCCCGGGCAGGGGTGGGCAAGCTGAGAGCAGGAGGAGGACAGGTCACCTCCTGGCAAGATGTGACTCTAGGTAATTAGTGGTAATTGTCCTGAAGACATTCATGGTTCACCTCAAGGGGCCATTCTGGGACACCAAAGCTTGTTGAGAACCTGGAGAAACAGAGTGAGGGAGATCGTTACTATAATTAGATTGTTCTGAAAACCAGAGAATCAGTTTTACCTGGAGTGTTACAGGGCCAGAAGAATGCCCCACCACATTTCATTTGCCTATATAGTTTTGTTTTCTTGAAATAAACAGCTTTGTATATGGTTGTCACTAACTGGCTGTCTTGACTCTGTAATTTAATTGCTTAAAAAATGGCTCATGTTTACAAAAGGGCACAGCTTTGTGGGTACAAAGGGGTGTGTTACAATTTGAGAGTGTGCCTGGCTTAACACTGGATAGAAGCAAGTGAAGCCCTTTAGGAGCCAGCGCTGTGTTTAAAATGGGCAGGCAGCAGCCTTGGTTACCTTTAATATGCTGCAAATATGTTTACCTTTTATCTAGTGCCAACTAGGCCAGGAAAGACAAAAGGGGCCAAAGGTTACAGGGCCGAGGGCAGAGTGGCTGGCTGGGCAGAAGAGCAGGGAAGCCTCATTCACATGCAGTCTGCTCTGACCATGGTCCAGCTTCCTGAGCAACAGACTAAGTAAGCTGTATGTCCTATGCCACGGTGCCCTGGCAGAACTCTAACCAGGGGTACCCAGGCATAGACCGTTTCACCAGCTTTCAGAATGAAGAGTTTACCCAGTTACCCTGACAGTCCCCTGGATACGTGAGAAGCTTCCTGGGTCTGGGTCAAAGCTTTATTAGTTCTCTAGCTTATCTTCCAAGATGCAGCTTCAGGCAAAGCCAATAGCCACCTATATACATCCATCCTGGGTCTCTGCCCATGCTGTACTGAGTCACACTAGTCTCCAAAGCAGGCCTGACCACACCCAGGCAGGTGCACTGACTGTGCTGATTACCCAGTCAATAAAGACAAAATTCTGTGTTTACCCAGCTTCCAGGGTCCCACACTGTTCATGCTGAGGGGGAAATGCTCCATGAATGAGCTGCATTTTGGTTTCTAGGCCAGGCAGGTAAGCTCAAAGTTTGTTTCTTTCACCGATCAACACCCCTTATACCCCTGACACCTCAGTAGGTCTGGACCTAGCTGCCATCATTCATCCTGGCCCTATATTTTCTCTTCCCTCCTGAGACCTCCATCATCCAAATTAGAGACTTAGATATCATCCATACAACCCTCCTTCAGTCCTCCTGTCCCATCTGTCCCTCTGCCCCCAATGAAACATCTCATTATGAACTGAGAACGGCATCACAATTCATCCACTGTATCAGACTGCACTGACACAGTGGCTGGAGGGATATTTCTTTGCAGCCTGCTCACCTGCTATGCTCACCTCCTACTCACTTGGACATTGGTGCCAGGACCTTACCCTGAGGCCCTTCCTTAGCTCTGCTTCTTGCTCCCTCACCCTGTCCACAGTTCAGCTTAGACATCAGCTTTCTAGAGAGGATTCTTCATTTCCTTGCCTGGGAAGCTTAGGTACTTCTGCTGTGGATGCTTGTCCCCCAGAACAGTGACCTGGTCTTTGCAGTTTATGTCACTTGTACTTGGGATATGCCTACCTCCCTAGAAAATGAAGAGCTTTAAGAGGGAAGGGGCTATGCAAAGGTTTCAGGGAGTCTGGAGGTGAAAATGGCAGGTCCTTAAGAGATAGGATAAATGAACAAAGGAGATCATGATGTTAGTACCAGAGAGGAGGCATCCATTTTCTCCAGCTGTTGGGGGAGGTGGGGATTTCTCCACAGCTGTCAGCCCTGCAGCCACCATCCCCAAGGCTGATGAGGGAGGACCAGGGCTTCATGACCAAAGAGGGCCTTAAGCTGGTGGCTGTGCCTAATTCTGATGAACAAGAAGCACAAAGATTTTACTTTCCTCAAGGGAAGGTCACAGTTTGGAGCAACAGGTGTGTCTACACAAGCACAGTCAAGTGAGGACTTCTCTATGAAAGCCAAACCTGGTCTGAGGACATCCAGCAACCTCCCACATCTGCTGCCTGGCTTGGGTGATGCCAGAGCACTGTTGTTTAATATCCCAACCACTTACCAGAGGGAGGACTCCAGCTTGGAGCCAGAGCCACAGCTCACTCCTTATCACACTTGGCAGGGTGTGCTCACCCAATTTACAGCCCTCAATGAGGAGCTGGCAGAACCCCCTCCTGGCTAGAGGGAGAAATACAGGATATGGAGAGGCCCATACCAACCCACCTCTGCCAGACCTGGGGCCAGAGGCAGACCCTGCAGGAGCAAAAAGCAATTGGATGGAGTCTCTTGAGGCATCCCAGACACCAGCGGTTCCTGAATTCAGCACCAAGACCTTAGGGGAGGGTCCCATCCATACTCCTTGGGCCACTGGAATGTCACCTTAGGTCTTGAGCAGGCCCACTCCCAAGGCTCCCTTCCTCTTTCCCTCTGTATCACGGTTGTCTAAGATCACTAGTGTCCCGTCTCACGTTTGTGCAGTACTCAGAAGGGTCTGCTTAACATTTCTCTCTTTATTCCTTCCCTCCCTTCCTCTCTCCCTCTGCTGACAAAGTCCAGGCTCATAATCTCTGTCTGGGCTCTTTGTGTTCCTGTGTTTGTGCTCTCTTCCCCCTTCCACCCTGGCTCCAGCCACAGAGTCCTCCAGCTGCAGCTTCTGCCAGACCCTCTGCACCTGCTTGCAGCTGTTTCCTGTAACTCCCTTCTGGACTCCTGTCACCCCTTCTGTACCCTTTGCGGCTCAGCTGAAACTTCTCTCCTTCAGGGGACTCTTCCTTGACCCCGTCAAGTCATTTTGTGACCACAGCCCCTTCCTACATCAGGCTATCACTTGCTGGAGCTCTTGCTAGGACTCCCTCCAGCATAAGCTCCATGAAGAGTCTATGTGAGGCCAGGCTTGGCCACCCTGTCTGGGGAGGGAAGTAGCAAATGCAGAAACCCACTAAGGAATGAACAGACTGCTGATCTGAGTACCCACTCAGGTGGAGAAGCTCTTATGACGTCAGTATTCCTGTGGTAAGAGTTGGGTTTGACCTGTGAGCAATAATGTGGGCTATGTGGATGACATATGGAGAAAGTATCAAGAAGGAGGTAGGTTTATACCTCTAAGAGCCACTGTGGTGTCCACAGCAACCCTGTGAGTCAAGGTTTCCTTCATCAAAGGCTTCTTGAGAAAAATTACCCAATTCTGTCATCCCATGTGGCTCAACCCTGGCATTGGCTAATCAGATTGGGATCAGCTATTGGCTGGGATGGGGCTTTAGGGGATGAGGAGAGAGAATCCATCTTCAGCTGCCCCCCCTTTTTTTGTACAAAGATAGGGTTTCTCTGTAGCTTTGGAGCCTGTCCTGGAACTCACTCTGTAAACCAAACTGGTCTCCAATTCACAGAGATCTGCCTGCCTCTGCCTCCGAGTGCTGGGATTAAAGACGTGCCCCCTGCCCACCTGCTGCCCCCACTCTTGTGGCCCCAGAAACTCTCTGGCAGAGTTTCTAGTTTGCAGTTATCTTTCTGTCTGCCCTGGGCAGGCATGGGCATGTTTCTGGTCTCCACTGTAGGGCTGGTGGAGGGGGAGGATCTGGGGTGGCAGTTCCAGGGGCCAGTGGGGGCTGGACCACCACAATGACCCTCAAAGATGAGGCGGCTTTAGTCCCTTGGTTCTCCATGGTGCCACTACAAATCCTTCACAGCTACTCCAGGTCTCCTCTTCAGCAGTGCCCTGTAGAGGTCCTTCCTGGGTGCTGCCATCTGCCATGCCCTGCACTGGCTCCCTTGTCTACACATAGGAAGCTGCTGCTACAGAACACACAGAAGGGACTGCCACAGACGAGGCTGTTTCTAAAGCTCTGCATAATTATTTTGTCTCAGGGAAATGAAAGGAGGGTAAACAAACAGCACACATTAATTAGTCTGATCTACATTTTCCTCATGAAAGAGGAGCGCTGCAGTTAAACTGAGAGGATGGTGACTTCCCAGAGTTTTCAGATGCTCATTGAGTAGCCATGGAAGGGTGTGGCTTCCCCAGGCTCGCCCACACAGGCAGGTGCTCAGTTGCACCCTGCTTATTTCCCCTTTCCTTGTCTGCATGGGGTCAGGCATGTGTTTGGCGTTGGACATGGGATCCCACCCTCCCCGCCATTCCTTCCTCTTTTCCATGTATGGTAGCTTTGCAAGCAAGACCTGTCATGGACCCTCTTAAAGGGTTAGCAGTTTCCTCCAAGGCCATGCATGCTGAACTTCTGTACTTCAACCTCTTAGGTTAGGTGGATCATTCAAGGTTTTTTACATTAAGACCAACAGTCACTTTTGGGTTGGCCTCCTTTGCAAATCCTAATGCATAGTTTCTAGGTTACTAGAAGCCATATCTCTTTCCCTCCATAGTATGGAGGGGAAGTCCTGAATATTCTCAGGTCCTCAGTCCTCAGGGATCCTAGCAGGAATCCTGATCCCTTCACTGTGAGCTGTGCAGTTATGACTGGGAGCTTTATGGCGCCTCAAGGCAGGACTCCTGGGAGCCAGCCTATTGGTCCTAGATGTCAAAACCAGGATTTCTCTTTTCACCTGAGCTTCATGGTTTTGCTCACTCAGCCAGGGAGGCAGGCTAGCCTAAGTGACATGCTGGCACTGATGTCAGGCATGGGGCAGCAGTGCCTACCTCTAATGTTTCTATGAGGACTAGATGGCACCGTTCTGGTGGCCTGGTACCCCTTCCCCGAAGCCACCCCATGTATCTTCTCTCCCCAGGTAGTAGTTTCTGCATTGTTAAAGGGCTGGCCTGAGCCAACCCACAGGACTTCCAGGACCCTGACTGAAGCAAAGTGCTTTCTGGATCCTTACAGATGCCACTTAAACTGTTTGAGCCAAAGCCAAAGCCTTCACTAACTTGCCCCTCCCCTCTGCAGTGAGGACTGGGCTGGGCTATGCATGAGGAGACAGAGAGCTCTATGGGTCACAGACTGATGCAGGTAGAAGAGGAACTTAGCCAAGGGATGTTTGGAAGCCCAGAAAACCCTTAGTCCATATGGAAGAGGAAAAGGTGGACAACTTCTCTGCAAGACCTTAA